TTCGCACTAAATAGTGAAGAAGCTTAATATTTCAAAGAAAAGGTTTAAAAAAGGTATAAACAATAAAATGTATAGCCTCAATGTTCTGAAATAGCTGAATAATTTAATAGTAATAGGTTTATAGCTGAAAGTAGGCTTAAGGAGTTAGATATTAAATGTAAGTAGTAGTGAATGGATGTATATTAAGAAGAGAAAATAAAGTAAAAAGGCTTTGAAAAGCAGCAGAATATTTTAACTGCAAACCTTTGAACTAACTTGATGGTGAGTGATCTGTCACCATGGCAACGGAATTTGATGAAACCCCATAATACGCTTAGATGTGCTGCATCGTTCCCAAACCTGTGAAGTTTTGGGCCGTTTTCAAACAAATCAAAAATCAAAACTGTCCCGTAGATGTCTTCACGGCTGGACTGTTAGCACACGTGAAGTTTGAGCACTTGTTGAAAATTTTCATAGGAGTTATAGCAATATCGTGTTTTATGGCGAGGGATTTGCCATGGCAAACAGCTTTTGAGGAAAACTCACTATTGGCACATAGACATGTTGAGGGCTGGACCATTAACCATTATCTGAAGTCTGGTGCTGTTTTAACCCTTTTCATAGGCGTTACGACGACATCTTGTTGTAAACAGCATTCGAACTAATAAAGAATCAAAGTACTATAGTGGAATGCTGTGAACAGCATTCGCACTAAACAGGCGCCAGGTTATCTCAATGCTTAACACAACGCTGCCCAAACCCCACGGCCAAATGACAAACTGAGGAAGGACAGATGTGAAGGATAATAGGAGACTAGTTCATAATTCTCTATCATTATAGACTTTGTTTCTTTTGGTAGAGTTTCAACCTTCTCCTAGCATGCTAAGGTAATTGTTCTCTTCCTCTGTTCTTACCTTTCTGCTGCTGAAGGTGTGATGAGCTCCGTGCTGCTGTGTGATAAACTAGTCCCTCTGCTGTCAGGGGGGTCTCCCTCTGAAGACCTCCAGCTGGAGTCCAAGAAGAGGAGTATCCCCAGCACACCTGATGTTACCCCGGACAGACTGTTGATCCAGTCACAGAGCTATAGAACAGCACGCATATGAACCTTTTATAGGCTTCACAACCTCAGAGCACATCTTAGAAGCTAAACAGAAACATATTTTTTGTAAGATAGATCTCCCAAATTATGCAAGCAGAAATGGATTAACTACATGTCTTTCTTCAATATGTGCTTATTTACAAACACTCAAAACTTTCAAATGCACGTATTTCTTCATTTTAAATACTAGACACTTACATTTTTGGATCACCACCATAGCAATATCACCTCTTCACCTCTACAACTGTACAACACACTGGAAACATCTAGGCTTATCTGTCATTTGGTAATATCTGTAACTAGAATTGCAATTTTTAAATGAAAAAATAAGCTTTGACTTAGTTTTATGACTTTAAGGCAAATAAAAACAGCAAGTCAATGCCAAACCCCTGCAGATTTTGTGTAGAGAACAGTTCAGCTAAAGGTCATCATGCTATTTTTAGGCAATAGCATAGGTCAGAGATATATACAAATATATAAAAAACATGTCTATGAAGTGTTTTGCTCAAAATACCAACAGATCACCCATTCTAGCCATGCCTCATATCCCTCTATTTCACTTCCTGTTTCAAAAGTGCTGATTATATGTATAAAGATTTTAAAAAATGAAAATTGATTTTTTTTTAAAGAGGGGCGGAGCTTATGCCTGCTCATGTGGGAGATTCTACAGGCAGATGCTGCCGTGATGAAACGCCACATAGATTATCAAGGATTATTTCTGAAACAGTATGGAGCTCAAAGGTTTTCTCTCTTGCCGGTTATACTACAAGGTGAGTTCCTTTTTATTTCCTGCTTCTTCACACACATGCTCTATCCAGTACAGGTTAGCTCTGAGTGTTAGAGCTATTACAGAGCTCTAACACTCCGACCATATTACATCCAAAACAGTCGTGCATTGTTTCCGATAGCAACTTTCCGATAGGGATGGGAACGATTAATCGAATATTCAAAATTATTCAGGTGTATTGAAATATATAATTGAATATTATAATAAAAATACACTGTATTTGTGCAGCACTATTCTTATCAAATAAAAAGGTGCTTAACAGTGAAAATATAAATAATAATAATAATACGCAATTGATGGTTATAGATAATGTGACATTCCATAACCAAGCAAGTGATGTTCTCTACACGACAGGATCCGAACCCTCCGTCAGAACTGGAACTGAAGTTACAGTTTTGTTGGAGCCCACTGAAGATGTTTTAATGTGTTGGTTTGTTTTGGTGTATAAACGGTCCGGTACAGGATCATCCTCTTCAGTTCAGAGGAGGCTCTACTGTAGCTTTTAGTGGAAATATCAACTAATTTTCTTTTATTGTTATTACAGAAAACACAACTCTTTATAGGTGATGCCATGCAACTCAACATGATCCAAGGAACATTAAAACCTTTTGGTTTCGTTTTGTATGTTGCCCTCAGGATGAATTTAAATAACCTTTTCCTTTAGCGTCATTATTAGGTCAACAATTGAATATGTCAAGTACCTTGGTTTAAGACCAAATACCACAAAATGAATGGCATCAGCCGAGCTAAGTTTAAGCAAATGTTAGCATGCTACTGCCAAAATTCCCTTTACATTTCTGACATTAGCATTATATCAAACCACAGCCCCAAAGTCATGCTAGCACTATTGCTTTGTTTAACTTTAATTATTTAATACATCTTCTATATAAAACAATATACAGTATATATAATGCAACAAAATATTCTCAAAATACTCCACCCGCAATAATTGTGCACTAAAATTACAATTCAAACCTTACGTTAATAAATGAAGCAAAAAAACTCATAGAAAAACTATGCATTTATTCACAATTTTGTATAAAGACAATAACTTTTTTTTCAAAAAATCTGAAATTAAATTGTTATACAAAACAGAGCATTGGGTTTTTTTTCATCTTTTTTTACAGCATGATTTGGGCGTTTGGGTCTGCATCTCAGTAGATGCCTTGGTCGTATAACAAAGATAAACTCATACGACTTGAACAAATTAGTAAATGTGATGCGGAGAACAAACACAACACATGACGCGTGAGCTACTAAGCAATGCATCAAAACGCATGGGAGGAAATAAAGGATGCTACAAAGATTAGTGAGATGACTGAGTAGGAAGGAGAAGTTCTGTTAAACAAGAGAGTGAGTAAGTGCTGCTGTCCGCCTCTCCAATCCCATGATGCAACACTGGAGCTTTGAATGTCCGCTGAGATGAGATCTACAGAGAGTGTGAGATAACAAATGGATGATTCACTCCCTCTACGATCTCATTATTCAAATGTATTTACAAAGATGTTTTGGCGGTTGTAAAACATTATAATGTTACCAGTGCTCCACGTCTGCATCCTCAAACTGCCCCGCCTCCATCGCCGCTGCCTCCACCTCCATACCGTCTGTCAACACACACTGCAGTTTAACAGCATAAACTAAACCTTGAAAAGACCAGCTGCTGGGTTTCCATTTGCACAGCAGAACACAATAAGCCTTAATACTCGTAACTTTCTCCATCATATTCTTTATAAAAATAGAAATACACATCAGATAAGTGTTTCCAAATCTTTGACCTCACTCTCTGTGACCTGCTGGGTTGGCTAGTACATTAAATACAATTTAAAAAAACGTCCTAGAGTATAGTCCCAGCTCAACATAACCAGATGCAGTTTTAGGACCAAAGCACTGACATGCTAAATTAAACACAAATGTCTCAGCAGTTTTTATTGATTTAAAACATAGTATAGACTGTTGGAAACTGCTCCCTCTTGAGAAGTTTTATTTAAAATGTGATTGAGGAACTCGTTTGGTCATTTGCAAAACAACTAATGACATGATTTATGGAGCCGTGCCAGTGATTTTCCACGACACTGTCCTGCACATATTTCAGAACTAAGAGCTTCTGTTAACAGATGAAGGGATTCTGTCCACAGAAAAACACTTTTACTTTGAAAAAGGAATTTAGAGATTTACTTTTCTACAGATATACATGGAGACTCTAGTGATGTTGCTGGTATTATCTAAATAAAAAGATTATTTGTGATTCGATAATTTCATAATTTATACCCCATCCACATTGTATTTTTTTTTAACTACAGCTGGGTAAACGTCTTTATCCTCACCACTTTTCCTTGAAGAGATTGAGACTTCACAAGCGGTTTTGTTTGCAACTTCATTTATAAGACATCAAAATGAGTCGAGGACAGAGAAAGGCTCATGCTGGTGAATATTCCAGAGGATAACTGTCACATTTCCTGAAGAATATTCTTCTATCTATCTATCTATATTAGGGCTGTCAATTAACGCCACTAATTATTTTAACGCGATTAACGCATGTGTATTTTTTGTCCTCGGCCGCCCCGTAGTTTCAGAGCGCATCGAGTTTAAAATACCATCTACAAGCTGATGCTGACAGCCCCGCTCCTGCCGTCTGCTTGCGGCAGACCACACTTCCACGCTCACCGGCAGGCCCGGACTGGCCATCGGGAGGACCGGGAAGGTGTGTGTATGTCTGGCGCGAGCGAGCGAGAGAGAGAACGGGCACACCTTACGTGTATTGTTGTTGTTATCATCTGGTGCTAGCTAGCTGCGCTAACGGATATAAGGAGCTGTTTCAATGAAAACAGACGAGCGACATTTTGCCGACAACTGCGCCGAGCACTTGACTTTATGCAGGTAGCCAGACACTGGGACATTGTACGAAAAGTCAGCACGGATAGTGCGCGCAACATGATTGCAGCGTCCAGGCAGCTCCCGTTCGAGCATATGCCTTGAGTCAAACATATCCACACACATACACACACGCACGCACACACACACACACACACACACACACACACACACACACACACACACACACACACACACACACACACACACACA